AATATTTGAATTGTTGCTTTCAAATATTTATTTTAATTGAGCATAATTGGTCTGGTAAAATCAATTGAAGGTTTTGACAATGGCCAAATGTGTTTTAGGGTAACCTTTTTAAACCTTACTAGAGAAAAGAATAAAGCATGAACGTTACACTTTGGTTGTAAATAAGCCTTGCCAGTTAATCACCGGAAATTATACTTAATTCTTTTCTTTTCAAAATAAACAATAAAAAATTAAAAAAAAAAAAAAAAAATAGAAAACCTCCCCCACAAACTTGTGTAGGTAAATCAATAATTTTACAGCCTCCATAGAAAATGACATAATTCAAACATTGAAGAGTATGGGAACTCTAATGAATTGGTGTGTGCCAAAACAGCAGACATATTAGTGACACTTTTGGTTTTGGTGCTACTTTTTTTCTTTCTTTTTTTTTTTTTTTTTTTTTTTTTTTTTGCGTTCTATAAATAAACATTGTATAGAAGGAGACCACTTCCTGCTAAGTTATATTTTTCCTGTTTAAAACTGACATTACAAAAAATATTTTGTAAATCCAAATTATTTAAGCTACTATTTTTTTGTAATATGTTCTTACTAATTGTGTTAGACATATCTTAACAGGATGTTTTTCATCTGGTTCACGCATCTCCCAGGTTTTTTGAATGGGAATAAGGATTTGTTTCCTGTTTAGAACTGCATTTCTGGTTCCTTTTTAAAAGTCTACTTTATACTTCTGACATCTCCATCTGGACACTGAAATTTGAATTACTAATCAGTTTTTCTCTTAATAGGAGTGGCTAGGATCATCTGTTTCTTGTGTCCTTTTGAACAGGTGTAGAGGTTTTTGTGTTCCTTGAGTCTTTAGGATTGGGCTTCTGGTTCCTTCTAAAGTTTTTTTCAGTCTCTTTCACTCCTAGTAGACAGCTCCTTGCGTCTTAGTGGCATTATCATCTTTCTTGGGGTGAATCGATTAAAAAGAAAAAAGAAACAAACTCCACTTCAAAGTAGCAATAAAACTCTAAGAATTACGTTAATTTTTAGTAGCATTGTGTTGTAACGAATATAATGACCCTTTTTATATCATAAGTGTCCCAAACTCTTATGGTACAAAAATATTGTCTAATTAGGCTTGGAGATGAAGGCCATGCCTAATTAGTTAAAAATGAATTAAGCAAAATGTTATACGAATTAAAATTTAAGCGTTTGTATGGTGGTGTATTACTAAATTTTTTTTTTTTTTTTTTTTTTTTTTTTTTTAAACTTCCTTGTTAGGAATTCTTCTACAAGAAATGCCGATATTATCGTATCCATTGGTTTTAGTTTGAAAGCTTTTTACTTTAGACACTCTTGTAACGTTTGAAATTGTAAATCTTGCTTGTCTCCCTTGCATCTAAGTGACTTGGAGATGAATTTGAAATCTACAATGATCTCAAATTAAAGAAATAAAAATGTCGAATTAAAAATAAATCTTAATTCTTTAGAAATTACCTTGTTTATGCTTGCAATATTAAAGTGGGCAGATGATAATTTTCAAGAAAATTATCTTCATCAAACGATGGTATCTCCTACAAAGGAAGATGAATGTTCGTTTCCTGTTGGAGAGCATGTTTACTTAGGATCTCTTGAATATGCAGGCCAACATTTAGACATAATACAATGTTTAGAATAAAAAGTGGAGGTCTATTAAAGATATTCATATCTACTAAATAACATTTGAAATGTGAGATTAAAAATCTTGAATGTATTTTTTTTTTTTTTTTTTTTTTTTTTTTTTTTTTTTTTTAACCCAACATTTCTTATAGGTACATCTACAGGTTTGCTGAGATATATGCATACCAAGATGATTAAATGTCCCATACTTGCTAAAAAGTTTTAGCATAAATCTTTAAGAGGAAAGACCAAAAGATTTTCTTATTAAATTATATTTTTAATCCTTTTTAGAACATTGAACATTTAGAAATTTTGGTTAATTTTTTTTCTTGTGTTAGTAGTATAAGAAATTTTAGCTCCCCCCCCCCTGTGAAATGCATATTGATTTGTAAATTCTTGCAAAAATCAAATTTTCTAGATTACTGGGTAATTAAAGATTATATAAGACATTTGCATTATATTCCTCAAGTAATTTTTACAATGTCACCTGTAGAAAAAAAATTATAAACTTCAGTCTCAAGCTGTCAACACCGTAAACTTACCTCTGTGTTAAATGGATTTCTGGGACATTTTCAACTAAAACTTAAAATTTTCAAATCGGACTAATTCAACCTTAAATCAGGTAATATTTCTATTTAATATTCCAGTGTGTGTGTGTGGGTTTCTTTTTTTATTTTAATTCTTTTCCATTAAAAAATTTTTAAATCCCTTACAAAGTACTTTTCTAATTGGGAAATAAAAAATAAATTTATCAGCTTAAAACTAAAACAAAACAAAAGCTCTAATTTTTCATCTTAAAAATGAATCTTAAACCTATTTAGTGGGTGCACACATTTCAGTTGCTATCCATGTTGTTTTATTAAACAGTGAAATTAATGACTACCCTAGATTGGGAAGTCCAAAAGATTGTGCCTCATCCACATATGTATTGAGGAGACGAGTCTGATTCCTGTCGAAGGTACAATTGCTCTATATTAAGACTTAATTTCACTGTTTTAAGAAAAAAATGGGTAGCAACTCGATTGTGTACCCACTAAAAATTTTTTGTAATAGGTGTGTGCTTGTGTAAAAAGAAAGCCTATACTAATAACTGAATGAGATGACTTTTGTGAAGGTAGTGGAGATTAAGATTTGTCTTATATAATTTGAAGGAATTAAAATAAAATGAATGGTTAGTGTCTAATCTTTCTAAAAGACTATGAAAATTCTTCACTTTCATTATAGTAATATTGTTATGCCAACTTCAGCACTGAAAAGGCTTCAATAATTGATTTCTTTTATACTAGTTTAAACTTTTCTATTCTTCTACTCGATACAGAATAGTTCTTTTACTTTCAGGTTCTCTATAGAAAGAATTTTTGGAGAATGTTGGTGCCAATCATTGACTTGTAAACTACATATTTTTCCATTACCTTTTTTGTCATCACTTTCATGCTGTTTATCAAGATCAATTTGTGGCTTGGCGGTATCACAAATCTATTTGGCTTATACATTAAACTCCTTCAAGTTGAGGTTGGAAAACTTTTTGATCACCATGTATGATTTCTATGAAGATTTTAGCATTACTCAAGATCTTAACATTTTTGTATGTAATGTGATGTGTGTTAAAATCTTGTCATCACATTACATTAAACATGCATGAAAATCTGACAGATGTAAAGCCCAATGTTGAAAGTAGCTTATGTTAAATTGTTACCAACCTCCCAGTGTTAACATTATTCATTTTTATCTCTGCATTTAGTTTTATTATTGATGATGTAAACACTTCCAAATAAGATGCTAGATGAGTTAGTCGAAGAAGCGTTTGAATATTGAAGTTTTAATCTCATTCTAATGTTGTTAATCTTTTGACAAGCAAACAGTCCATGTTAATGATTAACACTGGATTGATTTAAATTGCTTTTACCTCATTTTTATTTTTATTTTTATCAAAAATAAATAACAGTATTTTAAGAATTTTTAACTAGTCAGATCAAAATGATTTATGATTAACAGACTCTTTAACATGTTCAAAATGTTCCCCTTAATGTTCAATACAATGCTGAACCCTATCAGCAAACTTCTACAAACCATTTGACATCTTTCTACATTAATTTCAGAAAATTTATCAGAAAAATTGCTTGTTTTAATTCAGGGACTGTTTCCGGTTTGATCCTTTCAACAAGGTCTTTAAGTTCTCTCCCACTGGAAAAAAAGGTCTGGTCATGATATCCACTCAATTGCTCTATGCCATCCTACCCACTCCACAATAAAATGGGATATTACTGTTATTTCTCAATTGCACCCATAAATAATACATACTCCAACAAATGATCCAAAAATTTAGAAATGTATATATCCCTATGTATAATATAGATCTATAAATTTTGTCAAAAACAAAATAATTACAAAGATATTTTGTTGACCTTGACACTAAGAATAAAATTGGAACCACGTGGCAAAAATGTTAAATTACCATGCAGTTTTCCTGATAAATATAACTTCTTATTTTACTGCCAAAATGTCCATTTAAACAAGAAATTCATAAAAAATAGAATGGCCGGATGTTTTTTGGTCTTCCCAGTTTTATTGCTGGTGGCAACAGGAAAAAAATCAGTGGGAACTTATAAAATCTTGGGATTCCGTCAGTGAGGATGTTATAAAGAGGTTTCAAGAAGTATTGTCTCACGACAGCCATGGATGGCTCTAAACATGACATCCTTTGGCAAGAGAATGAAGAGGCTGAAGATAATTTTGAACAGGACGAACATATTGTGAATGATTTGTTTAATGATGATTTAGATATTGATTCTATAATAGAAAGTAGTGATAATGATGATGAAAACTAAAATTTCAATAAATTAACTTGATATCCTCTTTTCCTTTAAACTGGCCTTCTGATTTTTAAATAGTTTTAAACCTATTTATAATATACACCTGTACTATCACCTGTAATTTACAGTATAAAAATAAAAATGCGTATCTTTGAGAAATTGCAGTACTTTTGCCATGCTCTGTATTTACACTTCTCTTTGAAGTGAAATCAATTTTATTTCTTTTTTTTTAACCAGCTAAATAATACTACTTAGCTGGTTAAAAAAAAGAAATAAAATTGATTATTAGTGGTCAGAAACAAGGATTCTCTTAATTTTTATTTTGTTTTCTTGCTAAAATTAATTTTTTAGTCATTTTTAAACAAAGCTATTTATCCTTAAAGACTAGAATACAATTGCAAATCCTCTTATGAAGAAAGGCTGGTGTAATAGTAAATGTTGGTCATAATTAGTATTGGAGAAATTAATGAGGTAATCTGTGTATTAATAATCTAAAAGAATAACCTGACACCAGAAATGTAAATGTTTTTCAAACTTGACTCTTACAACCATATCATGTTGCAACACCGGTTCTCATAAGATCACCAAAGTTAAGCAACCTCAAGCTTGGTCAGTACTTGGATGGGTGATTGCTTTGGGAATACCAGGTGCTGTAAGCTTGGATGTTCAGGTGGTGTAATAATGGCTTGGAATTGGAGAGTTCCAATTCCAGTTGGGTTTGTCATATTCACTTATGCACAAATACCCTTGGGAAAACTATAGATCCACCTCTTCTCTCCAGCTTTGGGTTAATTAGGACTGGTATCAAATCATTTCTCATTCTTACAATCTAAAAAGCATTTTCTAGCTTTAAATCTGTAAAAGGTTGATAAGCTATAATAATAAAATGTCTAATCATTCTAATCATGATCACCTTGCTGGTGTCAATTGTTTTTCATCATTTATGACTACTCTCATCTTTGTTCATGTGTGCATTGTTTCCCTTGTGTACTTTATCCTGATTTCTTTGACCTTTTCAAACTAAAGTGATTGTTTTAGCTCTTATCTCAAATTTGTCAGGAACTTAATCAGTTTTTACCTACAGTAATTTGTGCATAAATTAGAAAGATTCTATGAAAGTTTATCATAGAAAATGCTATTTAAAGTAAAGCACATGAATTATATTCTCTCATCTTCAACTGATATTAAAATTCAATAACTGTCACACTCTTCTAAAATCCTGTTTTATATTTTAGAAATGGACAAAAATGCCCAACTTAAATTTGACTAATTTATATTCCAATTTTATTTAACACAAGTGTAGGCTGAGAAGAGTTGATAAAGATTAACTGTACATGGTGTTATACAGTAGCCCACTGCTATTAGGTGAACCAGTTTAGCATGGTACGTGGTGTACTACAGGTGGGTGGTGGACCCCAAGACTTTGCTCACGTACCATCAATATTGCTCTTCTTTTTTTTTTTTTTTTTTTTTTTTTTTTCTTATAGTAATTCCACCCTATTTTACCAATTTCTGTGCTATCTTCATGATAGAACAAAGTGATCATCAGATGGGTCCTAATTTGTCTTAATAATTATGCCCCTTTTTCACATTGATTTCGATGATCAAACAGCTAAAGTTTTGTGAAATTTGAACACCTCAGCCAATTGTATATGTAATAATTAAACATGATTACTACATATTTCTATTTCTTTTGAGGACAGGTACAATTTATTGTATAAAAAATCTGCTTTAAAACACTGAAATAAGTTGAATTTTTGGGTAATTTGCTTTTTAAACCCCATGCTAAGTATCTAATAATTTCCCTGAATAGTTATATTTACATGCAAATTTACATAATTTGAAAATAACTAAAAATTTTTTATTTTTTTTATTTTTTTTTTTTTTAATAACCCTTTTTGGAGTTATCAGTGGTAAAAGTTCAGGCTCATTTGCATCATGGCAACCATTACTGATGTTGTTTGCATGTATTTGCTGTTGAATAAACATTCACTTGTTTCGATTATTGTGCACACACTGAAGCAAACTATCAATAAGGGGGCGCCATGCCATATCCAACAATGACACGAATGGGTCTGGACTTTTGTCAATAACCCCCAAAACAGATTTTATCAATTTCTTTATTTTCAAATTAAGCATGCAAATTTAGAATAAAAAAAAAAAATAACTGTTCAGGAAATTTTTATTAGATACTTAACACAGGGCTTTATATGCAAATTACCTGAGGATTCTTATGGAATCCTTGGCATAAATTAGTATATTTTGAGGTTCTTTTCAAGCCATTATCTACAGTAGATATTGTGAAATAGGGAAAAAAAAAAAAAAATCAGTAAGTCTTCAATCTCCAATTATTGAAACCACCAACAGCTACCACAATTCATTTGCAGTGCAGGCCAGCCATCTTGGACCCCCAGGCCCATGCTATAGTGGTGGACTATCGTGTGTTATGTATATATATATATATATATATATATATATATATATATATATATATATATATTTTTTTTTTTTTTTTTTTTTTTTAGGAAAGAAGGGAAAAGTTTTAATATTAAGAGGAAGAAAAATAAAAAATGATATAAGGTTTTAAAAAAAAAATTGGGAGGAGAGAAGGAAGAATTAACATGAGTCAATAAGATGTATCCAATGGCAGAAATGGAAAAACAAAGATGCTGAAAATTTTAAATAAAAAAAAATCTTGCTTGTTTGCCATATTTAAAAGATTTTTAAAAGGAAGTTTGCTGCCCAAATATACATTAACATATAACAAGGGTAAGTTTAAAAAAAAATATCTGAACTCTTTACAAAAAAGCAATTGTCATTTTTTCTACATTCTTTTTTTTTTTTTTTTTTTTTTTTTTTTTTTACAAATTTTGTTTTTTGTATGCACTTGATCCAGCAGTCCACAACCCTCCAAGAAATTTTGCAGTTGGTCATACAACCATTTATACACTACTTCCTACACTTCTTTTTCATAGGAAATCAATGTTGTAATGCATCTTCAACTTTGAGCAGTCTAAAGAAATGAGTCAGAAGGTACAAAATCTGGGTTCTCGGCAATGTTCCAGCATCTCAAAACCTAATTGGTTAATGGTTTCAATGGTCTGGCCAGCCGTATGTGAGTGTGCATTGTCATGCAGCAACAAGTTTCTTCAGCAATAGGCTTTGGTGTCTGTGAATTGTTGGTTTCAAATTCTTGGCCAGCAAAGCACTGTATCTTGCACTGTTGATTGTATACCCCCCTTTTTCCAGGTAGTGTTTAAGTAAACATTGGTTAAGTAAGCATTGACAGACCTCAACACACTTGTTCTGTGGTAAACTCTTGGAACTCATCTAGCTCAGATTTTATGGAATCTGAGCTCATAGATGATTTGATAGGCAGTATCATGACTAATCTGCAGAGAACATGCTACCTCAACGATAACTCACCAGTTTGCCATTGCCATCTCTCAAACTGGCTGAATCTTATCAGTGGTGGAGGTTAAAGGGTGTCATGCTTGTCTGGTCACTTTAAAACCTCTCAATCCACTCATACACACTTCTACATGGGAATTCAGTCACCATATTGTGTCAAAAGCCTCTGAATTTCAGATCAGAGAAATCAAATCAATGCTCTTTGTTCCTCCTTGCTGTTAGTAAGTAGGGGAAATCAGACTTCAAATACAGCTATTTCTTTATAGTTTTATTATAAATGTTTTTAAATTTTGCATGTGGCAGTAATTAATTGTACAGTTAAAAATTATACATTTATGACTGTGTATGAACTAACTATTAATGAAACATATTTTCCATTCTTTATTACAAATATCTATTTTCTATTTTATTAATTACATTAGAATGTTGATATAGCAAAATACTACAGAAAGTTTGATTCTTTAAGCTGTTTTAGCATTAATGATACTTAATAGTCTTAAATTATTGCAATAATTGTTCTTGCTTACATTATGGATTTTTCTTGTCATTGTCATAACCATATAATTAGTCAAAATCCATAGTACACCTTTCCAGTTTAGGGACAGAGTATAATTAAACCTCTTCCTGAAAATTTGGTCTTTAAGCTTTTATTTTTGTCAGATCATTAATGGATTTGTGGTTGAAATCTCACAAGAATTATATGCATTCACTGTGAGAATTCATTTGAATAAGTCTAAATATGTTTTGCTGCTATTACCCTTTTTAGCAGGCTTTTATATAAAAGTAAACAAAGTTAACTGTGGGTATAGTAGACATTTTTACCTGTCACCCCCTCCATCTATCATCACTTTCTATTCTTGTGTATTTGCAGCAATTGAAAAAATTTAATTTTTGAATATATGACTAGACAAAAAATTATTGCATGACCAAAAAGAATTTCCATTATCTTCTCTCAGATTTAATTAGTCCTGGGTATGATGATAAACTACATCTGGCAGGATGAGTAGAGTGGAACCACCTCTTAATTGTTGCTCCTGGTGTAGTAACACCTGTTAGGGTCCCAGCTATGGGCAAATAGTGAACCTCCAAACAAAACACTATGAAAGTATAAATACATTTTATCTGTAGTTGAATGCATACAATTATGTTAAAAATATATTTAGTTGGAGTCATAAAATTGTTCAAAATATTTAGATTTTGGCATGAAATAACTGATAGGTGTTGATATGCCACTAAACAAAATCAACCAACCTGAAAGAACTTTCATGACATTAATCCATATATCCTACAATTTTTTTAAAGAAATTCAAAATATAACTTCAACAAAACATAAAACACACCTATCACTGCCTTTTATTATGTCTACACAAACATGTAAATGCACAAAAGGTGAGTATCATCTACCATGCTTTCAATTGTGAAAACAGAATAACATTTTTATTACTTCAAAACTCCCAAGAAATTTAAATTTCAGCATTAAATGACCCATAAGGATGTCGATATACCATTAAACAAATTAATCAGTCATCAATCAAATTTAATAAAGAAATATTGTTGATCAACTTAATGATGATTATGGCTTTAGTAGTTGGTATGTGCATCAGTAGCAATTGTAATAACTGTTACCACCACCATTATGATTGCTTTGTTGCTGGTACTCTGCCTGGTCTCACTACTGCCTTTCCATCAGTACTTTTATCCTTTGTGATAGGTGTATATACCTATTTAATTGACATTGCACAAAAATAGGTTTATCTCGATTTAGCATTTCAAAAACAAATGATTTGTGTATGATAGATTTGACATTTTGGTCATTAATTTAGTATTAAAATTCTTCTAGTCTTTTTAAACTTTCATCTGTGTTTTGTCAATTGTTTCTGCTTATCAAAGGGATTTTATAATATAATTTATAATGTCTAAAAATCACTTAAAGTTTTGGAGTAAGATGATTCAACTTTGGAAAGCTGCCAAATGGCAATCTCTCTAGACAGTTTGATATACAAAATGAAATTTTCATCCCCACAAAGTGAATAAATATGGAGTCTGTTCAGAATGTATTTCATTGAATTTCCACACTGTAACTTAAAGAAGCAGCTAATTAAGGACGCTAGATATATAAACTGATAAATGTTACTATAGAAAAATAACCTGGTAATTTTTCTATGAAAAGAAAATTACCAAGTTAGGTGTTAATGCTTATAAATTCAGTTCTTGATTAACAAATGTTTTGATAACATTTCTATTTACATAAATTCAGTGATACTTTTTTTTTTTTTAATCAATTAAGCCCCTGAGTGAGGCAATAATGCCACTAAGACGTAAGGGGCTACTGGGAGTGAAGGAGAATAAAAATACTTTTTTTAAAAGGAACTAGAAACAAGGAGAAAACCTTTACTCCTGTTCAAAAGACCAGGGAGTTTGAACTGGACAATAGGGCAAATATAAGCACACACAAAAAAAAAATTAAATTCTATTTTATGTACCATGTCCCTTCAGAACATGGACAGTCATGGTTCTCTACAGCTTCCTATCCTTTGTGCCTTTTAAATGTGTGTTTTTTTTTTTATGTAAATTAAGCTGAAATAAGTCCTAGTTGAAAGTTATTTAAAAAGCAAACTCATTTTAGTAAATATTAAGTGAAATTTTTAACTCTTGATTAATAACTTATAATAGTAGTGGTATTAATAATAATAATAGTAGTGCTAGTAATAGTGGTAGTAGTAATAATTCAAAACTTTAGTTTTGTTTGGTCAGGGATGGATATGTCATTTCCCTTAATTTTTGATGCTTCCAAAGTTGAGTAAATAATTGTGCATCTTATTGTGGTAATGTTGGACCATTTGACTGTTTAGTAATATCCATCTGTTATATTTAAATCTCCCTCTCATCATTAGTGTCTAATGTAACAGGTTTTTATATTTGGACATGTGTGTGAACGGAGTATACACCCTCTTTTGTTTTCTTCATCTAATGTCAAGTTTTGTTGTTTTTTTTTTTTAAATGACTGGATGAGACCCCTTTTTCATACTCTAATTGAATTGATGCCTGTACAGATTATTCAGTTGTTTGCAAATCCTTTCAAATGGTAAATATGATTTTGATTTATATTTTTTCTTTTATTTCAGTTGACCACAGTATCATGTGGAAATAATTGTTCCTACATAAAAGCTGAAGGACAAAGTGACATTCTTCACTATTTGTTCAGTGGAAAACCTGCCATGTCCATTCTATCCATTAAAACAGACACTAATGGAAAATTACTTATAAACACAAAATTTTCACCTCCGCAGATAAAAGTTGATCCAGATAAGAGTTTCTTATATGCTTTTGGAATTGTCTTTGACAAAGTAATTTCTTTTTCTTTTTTCTCATTTTTGAATAAAATAAATTGTAAACCATATCTGTTAATTTCTCATTAAAAAAAAAAAAAAAAAGCTTATAAAAGTTAAGCTATTAAAAAGTATTAAATATTTTCATTAGAAGCAACGTTTATCCATATTTTATTACTGTGTTTAGTCACTTGTAACACATTCTTAGGGATCAGACTAATGCTTGTTAATCTTTCATGTCAAGATTAAAAACAAATTCTTTTTTTTTTTTTTTTTTTTTTTTTTTTTTTTTTTTTTAAGAAACCTTATAGGTTGTCTTTGTATCTTTTTGGATTATTTTGTAATTTAGAATAAATGTTAATTTTGATTCTAAAATGTTGGCCATTCTCTTTCAGCTGATTGAATATAATGATTCCAAAAACACTGCCAACATTGAAAAATATGACCCTGCAGAATGGAAGAACTATTCCACTGCCATGGAAATTGTCAGCAACAAACAGGATAGTGTTGTCTTTTTCAAAAGCTACTCTACTGATAATGTACCAAGAAATATTACTTTTTCGGTAAGTTTAAAATAAATTTTAAAATTTCTCAGGCATTTGGAAATAATTCTAATTATTAGGATTTTTTTTTTTTTTTTTTTTAACCCTTATACAATCTAAAATAAATTAGTTTTGCTTCAGTCTTGTTTATAGGATGTAAACTTGGTAATTGTTTGAGGATGCACACAAAAGATAATCAACTGTGTAAAAGACCTCCTCAAAAAAATGAAAAAAGTGGTCTTGTTTTCTAATGAAACTGAAAGACCATGAATTCATTTTGCTATTGAAATGTCTTAATAGGGAAAGTACAGAAAGATGTCTTGAACCTTTCCATAAATTTTTTTTTTTTTTTTTTTAAATTTTCCATAAAGTGATAAGCAATTCATTTTGAGGCTTTGATTCTTGTACTTTCCAATTCATCTCTAAAATAGGGAATGAATTTACTTATACTTTGAAATTTATGTTGTCCATTTTTTTTTCCATTTCAGTTCTGGAATTTTGCTGATAATAGTCGCCAAGACATCCTCCCCCATTTGATAGTCACAAGTAACTCTTCCTTAATGAATCTTGTAATTAACAATGTCAAACCCTCATTTAGCACGTCAAGATTTGCTCTTGCTGCAACTTACATTTCTCACGGGAATAGCAGGTTCAGTATCAAATCTGAAAAATCTCTTGATGATGAATATTCACCTGGGACATTTGAGGTGAGATCTAAATTTTACTTTTACATGTTTCATTGGTCATAAAAATGATATTGGTTTAACTAGTGGCATAGCTAGTGTTTCTGCTGCCTGTGGTGGCCCTCAAGTTTACTACCTCTCCCCAGAATGGATACAATATTACAATGCATATTAACCACTTAAATTAGATTTTTTTTTTTATATATATATATATATATATATATATATATATATATATATATCTGCCTGTTCACTCAGCAATTCAATTTTTTTTGTCAATTTCTTAGAATCTAATGCCTGTATGATGCCAGTTCTCCCCCCTGCCTGTTGTTTTTTTTTTTTTTTTTTTTTTTTTTTTTATGTGGTAATTTTAACTCCTCACTGATAAATTATGAATTAAAAAGTACAACTTTTTTTTCTACATATCCCAGTTTTTTATTAATAAAAAAAACAAAAACATAATGTTACTTTTCCTAAATCGGATTTACATTTGTATTTGAGTCCTAAAGATGTTCCTTCTATCTGGGTTCAAACCTGCATTCACTTGTACATAAAGCTACTCTCAAGCTTGTAATGCTTTTAGACTGCTTGGCTATAGAAAATCTGAACTCAAGCAAAGTTTATTGACCCCATTTAGTGAATGTGCATCTCTTGTTTGGATGCAAAAATGAAGTAGTAAGGATGAATGTCAAATTTTTTAATGAGGATATGTGGTTGGTGTGTTGGATATTGGCTTGAATTTAAAAATTTGAGAGCAGAGCTTAAATTTCAGTTGGCTTTGTGACATTCTCTTATGTAAATACTCTTGGGAAGGGTATGAATCATCTCTTCCCCCAGCTGTGGGTTAAATAGTAAGAGTTGTATCTGGATTAATAATTTTTCTCTAACATTATTATTGCAATATTTACTTGCAAAATAAAAACAAATTATTCTTGTAATTCAATATTTTGGTTTTAATGGCTCCACTTTTTGTGGATTATATATATGGCTGATTGGTTAGAATGTTTGCTTTTCAAACATAACTCATCTTTGAATCTCCTCAGGGTTGATTAATCAGGAAGTTGACTTCAAGTTATTGGCCTGGGGGAAGCAATCCCAGCACACATCATTTGGAAAGTGCCTGAAAGCCATTCCACTGAGATCCATGTGAGTGAAATTAGGTAGATGGAACTGTTTGGGTGCCATTGGTGGTTAAAACCCTCAGTCATGATGACTTGTGATTCAGGGTTTGAGTGTTCACTGTTGATCACACCTGATGTTTCCCAGCAACTGTCACTAAGGTTCACTTTGCATAGTTGCATTATTATCGCAGATGTGCTCTGTGGGTATTGAAACAAATGTGCCTGAGCAGGCGTCTGCAACAAGGATTGGCTAGCCACCCTAGTGTGTACACACACACACACACACACACACACACACACACACACACACACACACACACACACACACACACACACACACACACACACACAGGTTTCAGCTTTAAATAACCTCAAAAGAAGAAAAAAATCAATCTTACTGCTGTTTGTGCTTAATTATAAGTAGTTATTTATATAGTTATGTTCTTAAGTAATATACTCTTTTTTTTTTTTTTTTTTTTTCATATAATCTATTCTTTCAGGTTGCAAATTGGTTGGCTGTCAGTAACAATCACAATAGCTTTTGGCAGTGGAAACCTGTCTCGTACTTTGGTACCCCTCGCAGTACCATGACATCAACATATGTGAAAAGTTACAAACTGAATACCAATTTTTCAAGATTGCCCGAGAACCCGAGCCTTGCCTACAGCTTCTTTACAGAAATGGGAGACTATAATATGAGTAGCAATATTCTTTCCTTTGGTCTGACAGATGATAAATTCTATGACAGGAATAACTACACAGCATGGTAAGTTGATGGAAACAAATTCTATTCTAAAGAAAAACTAAATAATACATGTTAAATTTTGGATCCATTCATCTTAGTGAAATTGTTTTGCAGTTGCGAGAACATTAGATTCATAACTTTTAAATTATTTTCCTGCACCTGAAAGGATGATTGGACACTAGAAACAGTTACATTAAGAACAGAGGTTCTCAAACGGTGTCATGCCTCATAGGTGCAGTGGAATAAGATAGGTGTGACGGAATTAAAAATTCATAAAACTGTTTAAAATTCATATGCCAAGAATAAATGATTTCAAAATTTAAAATGTTATCGATTATTTGTAATTGCATGGATGAGTCCCAGTAGAAATAGTTAAATAATTAACTGATTTTATCATTGTGATATTTTTTGTTTTATATCAAGTATTAAGAATATAGTAACTAGTGTCTGCAAATTGAAGGAGTCATCAATGAATGTTCAAACTTTGAATCCGTGGTTATCTCCCTTTTAAACTGTTTTTGTTATTTTTAAATGTACTTTTTATCACATAAAATTTGAGGTGAGAGCAAATTTTCATTTTGAAAATGTGGCCTAGAGGAAAAAAATGTTTGGGAGCCACTGCATTAAAAGATAAAGCTCTCATTGCATCGAATTCTGACAGGAGGTCCATTAGACTACTTCTATGCTCCATGGCTCTCCACAATTTCCTGTCTTTTGTATCTTGTTCTACCATCCACTTCCTCAAGCTTGCTAGGTAGGTCATGCACACACACACATATATATATATATATATATATATATATATATATATATATATATATATATATATTATCTGAGAACTTTCAGGTATCGCTTCCTGATAACAATGCATCCTTTTGTTACTCATGTTTGGTTGATATTCTCAGCATCCTTCTGTAAGAATATTGTCCAGCATTCACTGCCTTATAAGAGGATTGATATTACATAATAATAGTTCAGCACTTTCTTTTTGTTTCTTAATACTTTGCTTCGCCTTTTGTAAGGCAACTTTTGCTATCCTAATTATCCTAATGTGCCTTACGATGTAAGTGTTGTATTTTATTGTTTTAAGACCCTTCCCAGATATTTAAATTGTTGTATTCATTTGATTTTGGTATACACAATTTGTGTTTTTTGGCTGTTCCCTTTTGCTAACTACCATGCATTCTATCTTCTTGCAATTGATGCTTAGTCCTTTCTTCTTGCTTTCCTTCACTACCTTCTATTGTTTCTAAAATTCCTGTTCATTTCTTATACCAGTTAAGATTTTTCTTGACTAAAGTTTCTCTAGCTATTTTCTTACATAATGTACCCCAATAATTTTTCTTCTTTTAAACCAGGTCTGCTACATTTGGATATGGAATACCTCCTGCAGAAACAGTCTCTACACTGGCTATAGCAATTATTTCAGTTGGACTTGGAATCCCAGCCTTATTATTTGTTGGTGGTGGCATTTATCTGTGTCTAAAGCGAAGACGTAATGACTATGAACCAGTCTTTGGGACAATTTCATCATAGTGCAATAATAGACTTTAGGAAAGGAATGGGGAAAAGAAGTTATTCAAGATATATATATATATATATATATATATATATATATATATATATATATATATATATATATATATATATATATGTATGTCAATTACAAAATTATTTTAAAAGGATGTTTTTAAGGTTAATGTTGTCAGATGACTTAGTGAAAATGGCAAATGATTTGCTGAGTTAAACAAAATCCCAACAATTATTAAAGAGTTCATAAGTAAAACTCCCAACACTTAAGTTTACATTAGAGAAAAACAGTTGCCTATCAACTTTTTTTTTTTGTGGGGGGAGGGGTGCAGTATAAGGAGGTGTTCAATAGATCTCTGAATAGTGAAACTGGAAACATTAATGACCTCTTTTGCAGCAGGAAGTCATTTCCCTTGAACAGCTCGTGAGATATCATGTGGAAAGAACTTCTGTGTCTTGGTTGATTGCTGCTGCATTTTTTTTTTTTTTTTTTTTTTCAAAAGTTTCTAAGGAAACCCTAATTTAAAATCATGTAAATTAAGCTGCAAAAAGTCCTAGTTGAAAGTCATTTAAAAAGCAAACTCATTTTAGTAAATATTAAGTAAAATTTTTAACTTTCAATAACTTTTTATTATAATTGAACTTTAATTTTGTTTGGTCAGGGACGGGTATGCTGAGTTGCCAGTCATTCATTTCCCTTAATTTTTTTTGATGCTTCCAAAGTTGAGTAAATAATTGTGCATCTTATTGTGGTAATGTTGGACCATTTGACTGTTTAGTAATATCCATCTGTTCATTTAAATCTCCCTCTCATCATTAGTGTCTAATGTAACAGGTTTTTATATTTGCACATGGGTGTGAACAGAGTATACACCTTCATATATTTTTTTTTCCTCTCCTTTCAAATGTAGTTCTGTATATAATAGTAAAACCCCACTTACATTAATTTGACTTGTAGTCATACAATTACAGTAGTGGAGATTCCTTGAGCACAGTTTATTAACCCTCATTTTTAAAATAAGCTGAAAACCATACCCCCCACACGCACACTATACATACACTTTCTCTCCTTGATCTAATTCTGGGTAATAGTGGCTTGGCTAAATTTTTTTAAGACCAGTTTTATCCAATTTCATTTTCCCCTGGCAACTGTATTTTTGTTTTGATTATGAAGATAAACAAGTCAAATTTCATTTTAAAAAAAAAGAAAAAAAAAAAGAAATTTCAATTCACTTAAAAATGATGGCACAGTACGAAAAGTCTATATTTTTTTTTTTCTTTATAAAATCACAAATGTAAATATTTGTACAGCTCTCGAGTGCTGCCTTCTCACCAATAAAGCTTGTCAATATATTTGTTAAAGGAAAGTTTATAGAAATTAATGTGTCTGTTGTCCCCTTGTATAATAAGATATGGATGGCACTGATGTAGATGCTCACTTTTCAAAATGAAAATCATTTTAACAATTGTGAATGTCTCCCCCACCCCCATTTTAATCTTGCTAAATATTTGCAAGTAAAACTTTTTCCATCATATTGTTTGGATCAGTTTATCTCAACTGAATTATTCATGGGACTCGCACATGCACAGCTATAAGTGTAATTTTGGTTGTAAAATTTGCCATTTAAAATAAGTTTGTGCAAGACCATTTTAAAAAATAAACACCTTTTATATTCATATGCAAATCTCTGGAGGCTCTGGCTACAAGATACAACTGTAACAGAATTAACATCCCCACCTTTATATATCAATTACTTATAGAAGAATTTGTCTGCAAAATAAAAACAAATTTTAAACCTGATTTAGTGCAAAATGACTAATGTGGTTGGTGTACTGGTAAAATAACCTACCTAAATCTTGACAGAACTACTAAAGAAATATTAAATACTTTTAATTAGTATACAACATTCTACATACTATTTCTTACTATTTCTTGGTTCAGATATCAAAATAGACAGTACTAAAACGTAAAATTCTGGATCTAGATAGAAAGACCTCTGAGGCAGAGAAAATATGCAATCATTGGTACTTAAACTTCCTCAAACATGTTGAGGGGAAGGAGTTGATATTCTTGTAAATTGTGTCGTCTGATGTATACAAACTACTCAGTGAATGTACAAACTTTGAAGAATCTATTAAGATTCTAAAGAGAGCTTTTGTTGCAACCAGAACTCAACAGGCTGGATAAACCTTGGATCAATATCTTCAAGCATTGCATGTTCTGGCAAAATAATCAAATCAAAGATGTTACTGCTCAAGTTTACAAAGAGGAAGCTATTAAAGATGCCTTTATTTCTGGGTTATTCACACTTCCTATTCAACAGACTTCTTGAAAACAAAACAGCCATCCTCACAGAAGCTTGAAATCAAACATTAATTGTGGAAAGGGCTATCCTGAACTGTGAAGCCTATTCTGATACCCAAACAACTTATCAAGTGGTGTCAGTATTGGTAAGCCCCCAGCAGCATGATGCCTTCTCTTTTCATCAAGAGAAAAATCAAAAGGAGGACTCTGACATCTGCTGCTAGGAAATCTTCTTTTTTTTTTTTTTTTTTTTTTCTTTAAGTGCTTTTTCTGCAGAGGTCCTAGGCACTTAGAAATATGTGTTTGTTGAGACAAACAAGTTGCTACAATGTCAAGGTAATTTTGCTAAAGTCTGTTATTTGAAAACAAATGTTTTCTGCTGCATTACCTGTTATGGCCATGGTAACTACTGGGAGCTTTGAAAGCTACAGTAAAATGCCTCATGAACAAACAACTTACCATGCTATTAGATTCCAGAAGTAGTCAGTTTTACTGACACCAAGATGGCTCAGTCTGCCGTCAACATGGCTTCTTGTGATTTGTTATTGAAAACTGTAGGAAAATGGTGGGTATAGAAACTTACAAAAAAATTTAAATTATCCTCAATGTGATCCACAGACAAGACTTTCAAGGCTTGCACAAAAATATAGAAATTTTATGAGGGTGACAGACCCCCATCAAAAACTGTAGACTAGCTAGCTAGCATGAGAAAATCTGTTGCTTGACTGTAGATCTATATCTTTGAAATCGTGAAGATCCTCTAAAGAAGAACCCAGTAGATCTCCATGGAGAGTACAAGTAGTGGTAACGAAGAATGAAAAACTTTAAAAAAAAAAAAGTCATGTTATTCACAAATGATAAATAATTTTACCTTAAGATGCCTATCGTCTAAGATTACAATTTACAATGTTGGTTTCGAAAATAGCAAAGCATAGTCCGTACTCTGAACTAAACTTGAAAAGTACGTATCATCAAGTTCCCCTATGTAAAGCAGACCCTTCTATGGCCTTTGAAGCCGGTGGTAAATTGTATGATTTTAAAAGGATGCTGTTTGTAATAAATGAAATGGCTGGGTTTAAAAGATGACGTGACCATTTGTGGTATTAATGAAAGAACATGATACTAACTTGGCAAGATTCAAAGAACTGAATGAAGAGTATGGTCTCACCTTAATTGAGGATAAGTGTGTCTACAGAGAAAAAAAAAAAAAAACTTGGGCTATGAAGTAAGTAAAGGAACTGTAAGACCAGACCCTAAGAGATGAAACAATGCTTAAAAACTTTTTCCACTTTGTTATACATCTTTCCTCCAAAACTGTTCTTGTCATACCATTTTATAGAATGTGGAAGAAAAAAAAAAAAAACTATCAGAAACCTGTACAGAAATAAACAAAAAAAAAAAAACAAACAAACATTAAAGCAATTGATATTAATGAAACTTAAAAAGAAATGTAAGTTTGATAATAAAATTTCAAAGCCAATAGCAATAGTTCTATTTGAAAACAGTAAACATGGTTTTTCACTTTTTTAAAATTGAATCTTCTCAAATCTGCATTACTCTATAATACAAATTGTTAGGCACTAATAATGTACCAAATATCTAAGGAAAAAAAAAAAAAAAAAAAAACAAGCATATTTAAAAACAATTGGAGGCAAGTAAAATTTAACCAGTAAAGGGGGGGGGGAGAAAAAATCTAGAATCTTCTAAGGCTGATAACTTGTATGACACAAATGTTAATCTCTTTTCAGTTATTAATTAAAAGTGAACAGTTTTCAAAAAGATATTTCCTAAGTATTAGGATTTTCTAAGCTTAGCTTAGATGTGGCACAACCAGTGAGGATTGAACTCACTAGAACAATTACAGCTTAGTAATAATTGTTCTAGTGAGAGAAGCTTGCTAGCCATACAATGCCAAAGTGCCCTTCCTAAGTCTTATGAATTTCTAAAGATTACTGGATGTCACAGGCACCTGAAGAAATAAAATGGGATTACAGGAAATTTGTGATTAGCAAACTGACTTTAGTATTGGTACCACTAATAAATTTGCTGAAAAAAAGAGAAAAAAAAAAAAAAGTTATGGTCAAAATTTTTATTAGTGAAAGGAAAGACTAAAGTATTTTGATTGTTTAAGTTTTTTTTTTTAAGAAATCTTTTTTTTTTTTTTTTTTTTTTTTTTTTTTTAAAAGCAGAAAAATCTATATTTTTCTGTAAAAAAAAATATTTTTACTAAAATAAAAAGTGCAATTTCTAGAAAAGATTTTAACTGCTCCCCCACAATTTCAATGAAATTAAATTTTTTTTTTAGAATAATTCAAGTTTTAATATTTTTAATTTCACCTATTTTGAAAAGCTATTTAGAACTAGATTCAAGAATTTAAATTTATTTTTTTGTTTATAAACAGCCACATAAACATACCAAAAATCTATTTTCTGAAATTCAATAAAATAAAAAGTGAGTACCTAAAAATTATAGCTAAGACATTAACTAGAAAAAGATTTTTTTTTTTTTTTTATAAAAAAGATATATTGTCTTTTTCAATGAATAATGAATGCTTACAAGAATTTAACTAACCAGTAACTATGAAAAGAAAAAAAAAAATCAATTTTCAACTTATAGGAAAAAAAAAATGTAATGTGTCTCAAATTTTAGTTAACCATAACTGAAATTTTTAATTTAAATCATTTTTAGATTTTAGAAAAT